GCCGGACGGGAAAGAAAAGGTGATAGCATATGCGTCGGGGACATTGACAAAAGAAGAAAGGAATTACTCGCAGATAGAAAAAGAGGCATTAGGGATCGTGTATGGAGTTGAAAAATTTAACCAGTTCCTGTATGGTCGAAGCTAACCTTGTTGACGGACCATCAACCACTGGTTAAAATATTTGGGCCTAACAATGGAATACCCACGATTGCAGCAAAACGACTGCATCGTTGGAGCCTTCGGTTAATGATCTGCTCCTTCGATAGAGTATAGAAAAACATCCGAATTTAGGAATGCGGATGGATTGTCCAGATTGCCGAATCCGAGAGAGTTGCCACGTCCACAGATGGTGGTAAATGAGGTGACTGAAAATCAGATTACGTCAGAACAGTGGAGAGATATGATATACAATGAGCAGGAGGTGGCGAAAGCAACACAAGAAGATGAACGTTGCGTAAAGTGTATAAGTACATGGTGGGAGGATGGCCTCGAAAGGGTAAGGAGAGCGATTTGAGGCCGTATGAGAGAATTAAAACGAAATAAATGCATGTAAAGGTTGTTTGATGTGGGGTAGCCGAGTGGTGATCCCGAAGAAGTTTCGTAGGATGGTGTTAGAAGTGTTACACCATAGCCATTAATGGAAGGAATCGCATGATTGCGCTGGCTAGGAGGAAGGTATGGTATCCGGGAATTGATAAAGATATACAAAAGATGGCACAAGCTTGTGATATCTGTGCAGCCTTCGGAAAGGAGATGAGAGAACACCGCTGCATCCCTGGGAAACGCCAGCAAAAGGCAAAGCAAAAGGTCTGGCAAAGATTACATATGGATTTTGCGGAGACCACCGACGGCAGGAGATGGTTGGTGATAGTGGATGCAAAGTCAAAATGGCCCGAAGTGGTGCAAATGGGATTAACCACTGTAGAAAAAACGATAGAAAAGTTGAAGGATATCTTTAGTCTCCATGATCTACCAGAGCAAATAGTGGTCGATAATGGGCCACAGTTCATAGCGAAGGAGTTTAAGGAATACTGTAGAAGAAGGAGTATTGAGTTGATTTTCATCCCACCTTACCATCACAATTCTAATGGGGAGGCGGAAAGATTTGTGCAGACTTTAAGAAGGGTTATTATAAAGGGCGGAAGGCCGGTAAGACGTTAGCGGCAACCGTGAGAGATTTATTGTTTGAATATAGGGTAACGGAGCACCCGGCGACAGGGACCTCCCCGGCCAAAATGTTAATGAGACGTTCGTTGAACGACGTTGGATTTGATGAAGGCCCCTCGTAACTCGGTATTGACCCCCCTCCAGATGAGGCGGATTAAGGAGCAATATGACAAGAAAGTGAAGGAAAGGAAATTAGGAAGTAGGAAGAGAAAAATGACGGACAAAATGAAGGAGTATGTGGAGACTAAGAGGTCTAGGGTAGGAAAGCAAACAAAGCGGATAGCTCAGATAGGGGCGATAAGCCGGAAGAAGGGCATAAAACGGGCCGCTAGTGGGGGCAAACCTCATTTCGGAAAAAACGAAGCTGAAGACATCCCGCATGAACTGGACACAAGGAGTGCTGGTGGTGCCTGTGAGTGTACCCCAGACAACGACAGCAGCAGTTATGGCACCGCCCACTATGTCGGCCACGGGGTGGGGCCCTGGGGCACCCACAGTGGTGTGTCTGGGCTTGCCCGTGGCCGGTTCGCCGATTCAAACCACTACCACCACCGGCGCTGGAGCGTCGCCTCCCACGGTGTTGTTGCTGCAAGCGGTGAGTGTTTTGCAAAAAGTGGAGAAATTGTAGTAGGTTTAAAAGAGTGTTTCAGCTCACGCGCCCTCTAGGAAGACAGACCCCCCGCTCGTGGAGGTGGTACCGTGAGGGACGCGGGCGAAGAGTGGCCCGGCGAGGCCTCCCGCCTCGCTACGGAGAAGACGATAGGGATGCCTGGAACCGCCGCAGACTTGAGGAGACAACCGTGACCAAGAGAGATCTCCTTGAAGGAAGAAGTGCGGAAAGAAAGGGGCCCTGGAAAATGAAGACGCCAATACTAAGTAAGATTGTAACTGTGTTTTGGTTATAAATAAAGATTGAAATGGTCATTCGGTGTTCTGCAGGTTAATGGGTGGAGTCGTGTCTCGAAAAGTGACCTGGCGGTCACTACGGGGGATGTTAGGAGGGTAGTTGGGGGAACCGGTTTTAGGGAAGTGGACTGTACGAATGATGAGGACATGCCGAAAGTATGATGGATGGGATAAGAAGCGGATGAAGGAAGACTGATAAATTGTGATATAAAAAGATACAGTGGAACAATAAATGATTCTACCCTCCAGCGTCTTCGCCACACAACTATAACGTTCACACATATCAAATACCTAAGAACAATAAAAGAGTCGGACATCCATATTTATTGACGAATATAAATATCAAGCATATAGCACAGCATACAGCATACATATCATACAGTATACATATCATAGATATCTTGAGCTAAAATAATTTATGAACAATATGTTACCATAATGTCCTAACAAAATGTCAACATCACTAGATAAGATTTGCTTACCCTTCTCCCAATGAGCTGATTTGCACTTACTGCTGCAGCGTCGACCATTTTGAAGACTTCTCCTAAACAAATACGTAATAACAGATTGATTGCAGCTGGGATGTAATCATGGTACAGAGTGATGATTATAGTGCTGAGTAGTAATGTAAAGATGATATGATATGACTATAGTATAACCAGTTTAGTCCGCACGCGCATGACACGGGAGGCTCCGGTGAAACTGGACAGGCGTTAGGTTTCACCACTGAACAATGAGTTGGTCTTAGTATGGCGCTATCTCGAAGTCTCATATGGATCTGAATGTCAAACAGCAGTTTGAGGTTTCGGAGCTTTCATTTCAAATAGCTCGAAAAGACTGAATATCGAAAGCTTTCCAGAATGATTGCAATATTTCGGTGCTTAACACCGTCGTCAGGCCTGAAATAGCACTTACCAATTCACTCGCGTTCGTCTCGGTCAATTTAAA